CCCCAAAACCCCAAAACCCCAAAACCCCAAAACCCCAAAACCCCAAAACCCCGTTTTGAGAAGAAAAGATTGAAGATAAGGGAAATTTTAGCCGTAGACGTATCTCATGAGGTCAGCTTCTTTTTCACTGTAGTGTATTTTTCCTTTCTTCCCGTTTGAGAGTTTGGGTTTGGAAGCTCTGTATTGGGGCTTTCTTCCTTTGAATTCCTAGAGGTTAGGGGAGGGGCGTACGTTTGCTTGGGTCTTTTCAGCTCTTTGTTGACCTATGAGTTAGAGGGAGGAGGTACTTTTGAGTTGTTTCTTGATTTTGTCCTGCTTTTCTTCTTCCATTCTCTTCTTAATACCAGACTGCTTACGGTTTCTATCTAAGAGATTCTCGAGCTCTCTGATATCATTCAAGAGGTTGAGGTCTCCATATTTCATTAGGTTAGACCTCATATCAAGTAGCTCTTGGGTTGCACCTTCAATCTTTTGAAGCTTAGTTAACATGTCCATTTCTTTGGTGGCAATGTGCTTTGGCACAATTGAATCAAATATTTCGTTAACGAGGTCTTCAACTTTATCAATTCCTAATATTCTTAGATTACGATGTACCAAGTTTGTCTCTGGAATCTTTATTTGTAATCATTTACTCCTGGGGGTTTGTACGTAACAATGGTGGAAGCATCAACTACAGACATTGCTTTGCTTTGGTTGTCTAAGAAGTCCATATTCTCTCTATATTTATCAACCTCTGCCTGTCTTTTATTAATTTCATTTTTAAGCTTGTTCCTGGTTTCTTCAAGAGAAGCTTCAGATTCTTGGTTTTGGTTAATCATTGTGAGATTCCTTTCCTCTAAAAGTTACAAAATACAATACCGAGAAGGACCATGAGGTCGAATAACATTTTATTTATCCATGATTAATTCTTCTTCTAAAATAATATTAACCACCAAAGTACCTTCTTCATCTGATACATAGTAGCCTTCTTCAGATAGATTTCTTGCTGAACTTCCTACAATACGTTTAGGGATTTTATTCCAAAGGAAAATATAGTGAAGCAGTTTCGAATAAAATTACCTGTTGCATCCATTTTATTATTTTTAAAATAGAAAGGGGTTTTGGGGTTTTGGGGTTTTGGGGTTTTGGGG